TCCCTCCTCTTTCCCCCCTCTCCTCTCTCCCTTCTCTCTTCTCCCCCTTCTCTCTCTCAGCACCCTGAGATGACCAGTTTTCTAACTAGTTTTTAAGAGCTCATCTTCGGGGCTTTGATAATGACACCGACTGTGCAGCCTTCGTCTCAGTTCCATGCTGTGAACAGCAGTCAAGTTTCGCTGGTGGTTTACAGAGAATGCAGACTGTGAGGCTTTCATTCCTTTTCCGAGTCTTGGCGACCTCACAGGATTCACTGTGCCAGCTGTGAGTGGAACTTTTCTGATCCCCTTTCTTGGGTGACTTGACCTGAACATCTTTTGGGGAAGAGGCTGGGATGCTGATTCATGAACAGAAGCTAACGCAGCTCTGATCACATCGATTCTTTGCTGGAAGCTGAGGTGATGACATAATGCTCTTGTCAATGCTCTTGGCCTTCTTTGCTGTGCAGCGGCAGGGCTTGTCATCATCTCCTGGAATCACTGTAGACACACTGGTCAAGTCCATTTCGCTGAGCTCAGCCAAAATACTTGCTTTGACATGATGTGCTCCTTTCAAAAAGGTTCACTGAGAATAGCGATGCAAATTCTAGTCCCGTTACCCCACCAATTATATTCTGTAGTCTAAAATTTCCACTGGAAATAATTTCCTTTGGTATTTTTCTATCATTTTAGGACTTTGCTTGGCATTCTTTTTTAATGTTGGACAAAACACTTTTTCAAAATTAAAAACTGGCAGTAAGTGTAAGTGTGCTGGGATGTTGGTCTGGGCTTTGTGTCCATGGCAGGAAGGACCGTGGACAGCTTGTTCTTATTATTTTATTTATTTGGTACTGGTACAGGGTCTCACCACACAGCTTGGACTTGTAGTGATCCTCCTGTCTCAGCCTCCTCGGCACTGGGAGTACAGGCGTGCACCATCATGCCTGGCTTCTATGCCCAGCACAGTATGCCCAGAGTTCTGGGGCACACATGGCATGTAGTACTTGAGATTGAACACGGGTCCTTGCACTTTCCAGGCAGACACTTAGACTACTGAGTTATCTCCTCAGCCCCGTGGATGGCTTGTGAAGCTTTCTCTAGAGTGCAGCTGTCCTTCTGGAACCCAGGACTGCACCTTGCTGAGTAAGTGAGGAACAGTCCTCTGGGCCTCTAGTCTGCTTTTCCACTGAGCTATTGTTCATTTTCCTTGTTATGAAAAGGTTGCTTTTTGTTTCAAGTTCTCTGATCTAAGCCTCACAATTGGTGACCTTTTGTAGTCTTTCCTGCACTCTTCACAAGAACCTTACCAGTTTAATTTCAGAACGAATATGGTGACAGTGAATGTCAGACTTTATTTTGAAAGAGTGGAACTTTCTTCTGTACAACTGTCTGGGAGTAAGAGTCCCCCAGCAACAGTCACTGAAGCTGCAGGAACATGAGGGTGGCTTGTGCCACAGCTGCCAGGGCACCAGCTCAGAACAGTGGACAGGCTTCTGTGTGCAGTGGAAGAACAGCACTACAGTTAAAATATGTATATCTAAATATAGAAAGAACTCTACACCAATGACAAAATTTCTCTCTGTCTCTCTGTCTGTCTCTGACTCTGTCTCTGTCTCTTTCTGTCTCTCAGTCTTTCTGTCTCTCTCTCTCTCTCTCTCTCTCTCTCTCTCTCTCTCTCTCTCCCTTTGGTTCTAGGATTAAATCCAATACCTTCAGGGCTGGGGAGATGGCTCAGTGGAATAAGCGCTTTCCTGGCAAGCATAAGGGCCTGAGTTCAATCCCCGGTTCCGAAAATAAATAAATAAATAAATAAACCCAATACCTTCAATATTCTGTTACATTCCCATCCTTTTTTCTATTTTTAATTTTGTCCCATGTTCTCACTAAGCCTCTAAATTGTCTGAATTGGACTCAGTTCTGAATCGGGCTTAGTCCTGCCTCAGCCTCCTAGAGTGCTGGGATTTAGATATGTGCCACCACACCTAGATTTTTCTATCTTTTTAAAAGGAGACTTTTTGCAATAGATAAATAGGGGTGTTTTCTTTGAGTTCCTGCCCCCATCCCATGTCCACATAGTCTATCACCCTGTTTCCTATCATCTTTTATATATTTAACAAAATATAAATGATATAAACACTCTACATGAAGAATGTTCTTTTTAAACTTTCCCCTAGGTGGCCTGAACCTATTTTCAATGACATTCTATAAAAGTATCTGCAGACGCCCTGACAGCTAATGCTAATGGGAGTTGATGCATGCCTCTTGTACCCCTGAGTTAGGAAGCCATCTTGCCAGCAGTATGGCCCTGAGACATGGATAGAGACAGTGCTCCACGGGCAGAAGAAAGCGGAGCCCGTGGCCCAGCCAGGCTGGGAATACACCTGCCGTCCACACTCCCTCCCTCCCTCTCTCCCTCCCTCCCTCCTGTAGCGCCGGCAGCGCCTGGCTGGGTGGATTGTGTGACTGACAGCACTGCATCCTCACTTGGCCCAGCTTCCCCTCAGGAGTGCCAAATGAACTCTACTACACCCTTATTAATTATAAATGAGAGGAAAATGTATCTGAAGGTTACACTGTGATTAAAGCTGGGTGTTCAGTGTGACCCAAG